CCGAATCCCTCAAACTAAGGCTCTGATACCAACTTGTAACATCCCAATTTTCGAGGTTGAAAATTTCGTTTTTAATTAAGTAATCATGAAAAATCATTTGCCATACATTTCCAATATTGTATCACTTCATAAAGCCTTTACGTCGTGTTTCAAAACATATCATCAGGTAATAATAATAGTAATCAGAGTACAATCTCAGAACTCAATGCGGAAATCATGCGTGAGTGTGATGTGCCACTACCGCGCTGGCTCCTTCCCCTTCGCTGAAGAGGTACCTGAAACAAAACTGAAAACTGTAAGCACGAAGCTTAGTGAGTTCCCCCATCATACCAAACACCATACAATAACATTATGTCAGGCAATTCTGGGGTGCCTGACTACCCAGGTCAAGCCGTTCTGGGATGCTTGACTTACCCAGATCAAACAATTTTGGGGTGCTTGACTTACCCAGGTCAAGCCGTTCTGGGGTGCTTGACTTACCCGTCGGTCCTTACGACCGAAAACCGAGGACTATTTCACCTCCTACTACTACTAACACATAATATCATAACATAAACATACTTTCAGGAAATTCTAGGGTGCTCGGCCTACCCTTCGGTCTTTGACGACCGAACTTGGGGACTATACTCCCCCCTACTACCACTATCACACCTAACATATTATGCTAGCACATAAACATATCAGATAGCAGCAAACTTAGATGAATATCACAAAGACAATTATCTAGCATACAACTCCTACTGGTGGGCCGACATTGTGGCCGTAGACCCACCGCTACTGGAAGGTAACTCACCTCAATGTCGTGCAGTGTCTGAAATGTCCTCGGCGTGAAAGTCGACTCCCTTCGACTCCTCAATCCCTACATGGCAACCCTTCTAAATCATCAATTCGAACATGCAATCCAAAACCAGGGTCAACTCAATTCAGTCAAAGTCCTCGTTGGTCAAAGTCAACATCCAGTTGACCTGGCTCGCCGAGTTGGTCAACCAACTCGTCGAGTCCATATCCCTCTAACTCGAACCAATCCCCGACTCAACTCGTCGAGTCTAGCAAGAACTCAATGGGTTCTTCTTCGATCATACCATCGGGGCCATTTTCATCCGACTCGCCGAGTTCGACCTTGAACTCGTCGGGTTCATCTCCCTCATAAGAATGTGTCCAGCCTATGACTCGCCGAGTTGTATGAACAACTCATCGAGTCCATCTTCAAAGATTGGGAGATTGCCTTGGACTCGCCGAGTCTGTTCATACACTCGCCGAGTCCTATGATTCCTAGGTCCCTTTACACATCTAAACAACTAAGGGACTTACTCCCTAACAACTGGTCCATCCACATAAAGGATTTGGTGGTCTATTACACCACGACTCGCCGAGTTCCAAGAACAACTCGTCGAGTCCATCCTTGACCAATACTATACAGTCGATTTAAATAGGTCTTAGCACACCAAAACCATAGATCTGGCCTCCTAATGTCCATTTTACACGTAAAGTTCCAAACTTGGTACACATGCAAGGGGTCTTTGGCCCAAAAAGCCATAAAAGATGGCCTCCAAAGTGCATGGGGTGTTCATGGCAACAAAATGGGCACCTTTGTGCCATAAAACCCCCAAATAGACCTGTATCTAAAGCATACACTGACTTCCAACACTAAATCCTGAATACAACCTCTTTAGGGCTTAGAAAGATGAAGGAAAAGGCCCAAAAATCAAGATCTATAGACAAAGGTTCAGCTTCATACCTCCAATAAGCTGAAAATGAGCTTCAAACTATGGATCTTCTTGTTTCCCCTTGGTCTCACAAGTTCCTTCCCTCTTCTCAAGCTTCACAACCCACCAAAAAGCACCAAAATGGCCTTAGAACACATAAAAACGACTAGGGTTTCGATATGATGTCTTCTGGGAGTACAAGGGACGATGGAGGTTGAGATAAGGTGTTTAAATAGGGTGCAAACCCTCAAATTTGGGTTTCACTCAAACAACGCCTACTCGCCGAGTCGGTCTCCCGACTCGTCGAGTAGGTCACTTAAACTCCCGCGGATCACGACTCTACTCGACGAGTTGGGCCACCAACTTGTCGAGTCCCAGAGAAAACACATGAATTTCTTTAATTAAATACGTACCAGGAATCGGGTGCTACATAAGGCCTTGTGGAAAAAAGGATTTGGCCCTTTTCGGATGTGGGTGTTATTGTTTAAGTGATCCAAGTGTTCAATGGTGTTCTCGAAGGCTAAGGGTATAATCGTAATTTGATAACTCGGTCCTTTATGAATTTTTGGGTTTTGTTCGGGAATTTTTAAGGCTATGGTGAGTTGTTAGAAGTGTAGGGCTTCTCGCCACCTTTCCTTGGATATAAGATTCGCTGGAAACGAGCCTAAGATGAGGAAGTTAGGGAAATTTGAATTATTGGCAGAAATGGCCCTTAATGGAAAAGTTTTGCAAATCAGTCCCATGTGTGCTTGGTAAGTGGCGCGTGCCTGGGTGGGTACGCCCAAAGTAATGAGCAGAGTGCCAAACCCTAATTTTTAGGGTTGGGGCACTATTTAAGCATCTTTATGAGCTCAAGGCTCTTTCATTTCTCAACCTCCATTGACTTCTAGCCTCATTTCGGAAGCCCTAACCTCTCATTGAGTGTTTGAGAGATCTAAGTGTGCATTTTGGTGTGCATTTGCTCATTTTCAAGGAAAGGGTGCTTGGTGCTAGCTTGTGGTTCAAAGGAAGACTTATAGATCCAGACTCTTGGATTCATTTCCAACTCATTTAAAGGTATCAAGTTCATACCTTGGCTTTTTGTTATGTTTCATGGGTTTAGGGCTAGATTTGTGCTTATTCATGGGTTTTGAGTCCTCCTTGTGAGTTTGAGCCACTACAGGAGCTAATATTGCTAGATCTTGCCCTTTCCGAGTTTATAAGTTCATAAAAATGGTATCTTGATCATTGCTTTTGGTCCACGCATGTTCTAGTTGGGTTAGAATGGGTCTTAATGGATTAAGATTGTTGTTGGGTCCCATTAAGTCATGCAAATGCATAAAGGTGTCAACTTATGCATTAAGAGCTTTATTTTAAGGTTCTCTGAAGTTTGGGTGCAAAGTGCTTAAGTGGTTAAGCCATAAAATCAGTTTTAGAGCGAGCCAGGTTATGCCCCGCGTAACTGGATGTACGCCTAACATACCTAGGTTTGGTCGCTACCAGGATTCATCGAGTACGCCCAGCGTAGCTGTGTGTAGGCCTCACATACAACACTCAGATGGGCTTTAGATTTGTTGTGTTTTGGGCTTCGCACCTTTGGGCCACCTTGTTAATTTGGGCCTTTTGGGCCATTCGAGATCAACTTTTGGGACTAAGGAAATTATTGGGCTTTAGGATAAGGCCCATATGGGGGTTGGGCTCAATTTGTAAAATTAGGCCATAAGTGGGCCTTTGTGGATCTTTTGGTTTTGGGCCTTTTGGTTTATGGATTTGGGCCTCAGTTTTGGTTCACGTTGGGCCAGGGGTAAAATGACCATAAATTGGAACCTAATTGCTAATTGGGTGTTATTTTGTTCTGATAGCTCGGGGAGTCGTCAGGGCAGCAACTAGGGATTTCTTTCAGTGAGCTTCGGCATTCGAGGTGAGTCTCCTCACTATGTTTAGCCAGTCGAAGGCACCAATGTCTGCCCATGATTTGTTATTCTAGTATGCTTTTTGTTTGCGTGACTCTTGGCTGTGTTATGTGTTTTATGTTTACCGGGCGTGGCCCGATGCCAGGCGGGGCCTGATGAGTATATTGTATGTTAGTTATTTATATGTTTTTACGATTACCGGGTACTACCCGATGTCGGGCGGGGCAAGAAGGCTAGTATGTATGTTATTTATCTCTGTGATTATGGCATGTGTTGTGTGTTTATATGTTTATATGCTTATACCGGGTGGGGCCCGATGCCAGGCGGGGCCTGATGACTGACATATCTGTTTACCGAGCGGGGCTCGATGCCGGGCGGGGCCTGACGAAGGGAGGGTCCCATTATGTGATTTTATGTAGGGTATGTGGTATTTGGGGGACTCATTAAGTTTCGTGCTTACAGTTTGTGATTTATGGCTTCAGGTACTACCAGTTCAAAAGGGAAGGGACCGACTTGATCGCAGTGCATACACCCATGTTTCCGCAATACATGATTTTGGGAATGAACTATGATAATTGTTTTTATTTTGAAATGCTCTTAAATGTTTGAATAAAAGTTGCATGAGTGTTTTGATCATAATAAAAATGAAAATTTTACCCTATGATTTCGGGGTGTTACATAAAGTATGCATCTAGGTGAGTTTTCCCATGTCCAATGTAAACCTTACTCTTTTGACAGTTCTTTATGGAGCGAGACATAGTGATTATGTCTTGGTCGTTGCCAAGTGGTAACATAACGTAGTCTAAATGAACCTCAAGGTTAAGAAATACAGTAATACACAGGCTCATGCTTCTCATATCCGATATCATGCATCGTCGAATTTATCATAAACTGAAAACTCTTCAATATAAACATTGTCAACATACATAACTTTACCATCATGGTATTTTTCTACCTGGTGACATAAAAAAAACCCACTATGGTTTATTTGCATTGTGAATAAGTTTTCAAAGCCATCTACAAAAACCAAAGATAAAAGCATGTAGAGTATACCCATACTTGTAATGGGTGATCATAAATAAACTAGACTTACTGTAATCTTGGTTTACATCAGCTGATGTACTTAAAACTCATAGTTCCATATTGTTGTTTGCTTCATCATATATATATATATATATATATATATATATATATATATATATATATATAATTCTTTGCAATACACTGATCAATAGATCGTAATGAAGGCAATAATGTTTTCTTAGGAGAAGGTTTCAACATTACGTTAGAGATCAATTATGAAATATGTAGGCATAATTACTCTATTTATGGCGGCTGACAAGACGTTTACCTAAAAGATGAAGACTTGAAATGACTAGAATACCCCTAACGCAAGAGACACATGAGACTCGTTAATAGTAGTGTGGATATGGTAAATGAGCTAAGGATGACTTTTGATGAAATTGGATACAATAGGGACTAATGGTGTCAAAATTAGAAAAGTAGGTCTAAAACTCAAATTTCTACCAACCAAAGGTACCAAAATAATTTTAGGAGAAGTTTATTTTTCAAAATTGAAATGGAGAAGCCCATTTAGTCCTTCGGGCCCAATTGATCTGGGACGGGTTTAACCCGTTTGTAACTCCGTACAGATGTATAGATAGGGCAGGCGTAGCCGCGTAGTTCTTAAGCTTTTATATCATTCTTTCGTCAAATCAACGCTAACTACTAGATAATTTTCCAATCTCTTCACTCGATCGTATCGTTCTACTGGTAAGAAAGATTACTGATTTATATCTTTTGTGCCGCTTTTAATTCCCTTATACTTAGATCTTGATGTTCTTTAGTTTTTGTTGTTTGATCTGTGAGCTGCGATTGATGTTCTTCTTTTGCGTTTTTTGTGTATAATTGATGAGTATAATCTATTTCATGATTAGAAGCATGATCTTGATAGTTCTTTACTTCCCTTTCAGAACGGTGGATAATTATTTTGTCAATCGTAATCGTATTTCTAAATTTTAATTTTATGTTTGCAATATGTACTCTTCGGCATCGTATTATTCGCTTTCACACCAATCATAATGATTCTATATGTTCAATCATCTCCTGATTTATTTATTTCGAAGATAATATGAAATTGGCTAATCAGGAATTAAGATCTAGCTGTTTGGTTTTGAATTTGAGGATTGCCGATTGGGGAAAGCTTATATATTCACAGTAGACTATCAAAACATGCTACTTTTTGATGCTAATGCTCTGTTTACTAGTGTAGCGCAGCTGTAAACATGTCTGATGATGTGGAATACCGCTGTTTTATCGGTGGGTTATCATGGTCAACATCTGATAGAGCTCTAAAAGATGCATTTTCAAAGTTTGGACATCTTCTTGATGCAAAGGTAACATGGTTTACAAGCTTTCTTAGATTCTTTCACATATTTATCTCTTAACATTTTTTGTTTTTTCATATTATTTAGGTGGTTGTAGACAAGGAATCCGGGCGTTCACGAGGATTTGGTTTTGTGACTTTTGATGAGAAGCAAGCAATGGAAGATGCAATTGAAGCAATGAATGGAATGGATTTGGATGGAAGGAACATCACAGTAGACAAAGCTCAACCTCAAGGTGGTTCAGGCAGGGATTATGGTGGTGGTGGTGACCGTGATCGTGGGCGTGACCGCGGTCGTGACCGTGATGGAGGCGGCCGTCGTGGCGGAGGTGGTGGTGGCGGTGGTGGCGGTGGCGGTGGTGGAGATTGCTTCAAGTGTGGTAAGCCTGGACATTTTGCTAGGGAATGTCCAAGTGAAGGCGATAGAGGTGGCGGTAGGTATGGTGGCAGGGATGACCGTTATGGTGGTGGACGTGGCGGCGGCGGTGGTGGTCGTTATGGACCTGACCGGAATGGAGATCGTAATAACGGACGCAGTAGGAATGGCGGCGGTGGTGGTGGTGGCGGCAGTGATCGGTATGGTCGTGACCGTTCTGGGCCATATGAACGCCGATCAAGTGGCGGTTTCCGATGATGGAAGATTCTGGTATGATATATACAGATACAAATACAAATATAGATATAGATATAGATATATTGAAGTTTGATGTAAGAAATTGTGATGTGATGGATTTGTTTGAATTTGCAGATGATGATGGTGGATCTAAAAAGATGAAAATGGTGGTGGTTTTTGTTTCTGAAAGATGTCTCGTTTTAATTCGTACAATGTAGTAATGAATCAAAATCAAACTTTTGAAAGTTTTCACAACTTGGGACTCCACTACTTCTATGTTGGATTGGTTCGGTGTGTTCTAAAATGCTGCTCTCTTTCTCTACTTTCTTGCATAAGTGATTAATGATGAATGATGAATGATGAATGATGATCTCTATACACAAACAAATTACTTTTGGGTTCTTTTGGTGACAAAATAGAGGTAAAATTTTGTGACTTGATCAACTGAAAAAAATATACTCTTGGTGTGTATTTTATTAATGTGTTTGACCTTTTGGCAGGCTGTGTTCAGTGTTGTGGCTAAATATATGTGGCTATTTTGGGTACATGATATGTTGATAGTTGGTTGTGATTAAACATGATAAAATTGGGAATGGTTTTTGAGCACAAGCAGCTTATCTGCAAATCAATAATTGATCATCAAAAAGGGGGAGATTGAGATTGTTCATGGCATCTGGCTTTGGCTTTGTTTTGGGAAGATGGTTCTTGTTGTCCTTGTTTTACCTTGCCTTGCTGAGTGTGCTAATTCCTTCCTTCTGTGCTCATTGTTCTTGTTTTTCCTCGTGACACTTCTGCCCTTGAATCACATTTTTTGGTGGATGCTGATGCTTTTTTCGAATCGTGTATCATGGAAGAACATATATCGTTCTGTAAAAGTTATTTTTTCAGCAACCCCTGAGCTGAGCTGGCCCACATCTCTCTGTCCCATTCTCCCAGAAACATCATGTGAGATGTAAAACAGTGTCCAATAAGGAGAGCCCAATTCACATTCGAATTAAAGCTCCTGTATAGTTCGAATTGCGGCTATTTGTGGCTATTGAGACTTGAACCCTTGACCTTTTCTGCAAGTATGCGGTTTGAAACTTGTTACTTGACTGCCTTATCTGCTACTTGGTATCCGATCTTTTCTTTTGTCTGCGCCTGCATTTATTGATTTTCCTTCTGTGAATTGATATTTACTTGATTAGTTGTGTCCTCAAGGACATGATGTACTTTACTGTTTATAATTCTTTTTTTGCATGATCTAGGGTGAAGCTTACATGGTCATTTACTGTTATTTTTAATGAGATGGTACTAACTATATAATGTATACAATTTATTTTACAGCATCGTTCTACTTCGTTGACTTTTCCCTTGCAATGATGGATTTTAAATAGTTTGTTTTTTTGTTTTTTTTTAATTATTTTTTATTGTTATAGTTGATAAATATGGCGATAAGTTAAAAAAAGAGATACGGTGGTGAAATAGATCAAAATGGATTAATTTTCTAGGAATAATTTGAGAAAGAAATCTTCGTTTGGTTGGCCAAGATATTAACGGCATGAACCAAGAAATAGAATAAATCATTGTTATTCAGTTGGTATGTTTGGTTATTCAATTTGAATATAATGTTTTAGAGCTGCAATGCAAACAAACCAAATGCTCATTGGGCTGTTTTTGAACCATTTGTCATATTTTTGTTTATGTTGGATTATTTGTTTTTATGTGTGTTTATTTGATAAACAAATAAACAAGAACAATGCTGTGTGTTTATGTTTGTTCTTTTATGTTTATTTATTTATGTTTGTTTTTTTTATGTTATATATATATATATATATATATATATATATATATATATATATATATATATGAGTTTGTTGGTTTAAGTTTGCATGTTTATGTTGATATACATTTTTCTGGTTTTTTGTTTATGTTCTTTAACTAGTTGTGAGACCCGTATAACATACGGGTTGGATAAAACAAAAAACTAAATATGAAGGTTTAAACAAGAATTTATTTAGATTTGAAAATTAAAAATTAAAATTTGAATCTAAAAGGAAACATATTAAATACTATATGAGTTGTAGTATTGTAATTTATTGGTTATTTTCAATTAAGACAATTATTAATTGAGGTGTAAATATGATATGTTAATTAAGAAAAAATAAGAAAATAAGAAAATGACAAATGGAAAAAGCATTTATTCAAAAATACCAAAAAGTGACATGTGTCCAAGTTAATGAGAGAGTGACATGTGGCAAAATTATTTTCATTTATTAAGGAGAATGTTTGTTTAAGTTCGTTTGTGTTTGTTTATCACCTAACCGAACACGAACATACTAAATTTCTTTACGAACAAACATGAAAACAAAATTTCGTTTGTTTAATTGTCTGTGTTTGTTTTTTATCGTTTAAAGTTTAACAAACACAAAACAAACTTTGGTTCGTGCTTGTTTAGTGTGCTTGTTTAGTATGTTTGTAGCTCTCGTTAGTCGTTAGTTCATGTTGTTTGAAATGGAACGAATTTAGTTGACAAAAACAAAAATACAAAAATAGCCTTATAAAGTAAAATACATATAAATTATAATGTTCTATAATGTTACACTTATAAAGTAAAATACATGTAAAAATACCATACAAAAAAAAATGACAAAATACCCTTATTGTTAAATAAGTATAATCAACACAAAATCAAATTAACATAAATCACTTACAGGAGATAATCTTCTTATAATCATGCATAATATATGTTTCACAAAATGTATCATTCTTCTCCTCAAGATAATGAATAACATAAATTCATTTGCATCATAATGATCACATCTGATGAAAGTTTCGAAAATGAAACATGTCAAGGTGGCACACCATGTACATATTTAAGGTTTTAACAAGAGGATGCCATCTCTTCCTTCTTTTTGATTTTAAATGATATTTGATTTTTTGTTTTTCTTGTATATGTCCAAGTCATAATTGCAATAAAGAGAAGAATGATTAATCACTATAGCAATAAAGAGAAGCAATAACAGCAATAAGAAGAGCCATATGAATGAAGAGAAGAAAGTATCAACCATAATAAACACCATAAGCAATACATTATTTAACATGGAAAGGCAATACCAAAGGACTTTTGGTCTAGTAGTATCAGGTGTTGCCTCCCTCTTTGAGGTCAAGAGTCGAATGTTTAAGTCTAGTCTAGGACACGAGTGAAATTATGAGTAGTTTAAAAGTAGATTAGATTTGTCGTTTTATGTTTCTTGAATTGTAGGTCAATTAATAAAACAACGATAATAGCCTTTTGTATGATATTAAGAAATTCAAGTGCAAGAAATGAGGGTGTTAGGTGTATTGTTTATCTCTAAACTGAAAACAGTTGAAGCAAATATGACTGCCTGCAATCATAATCCCTATTTTCTTTGTTTAGACAATTTAGCAATAAGTTAATAAGCATGCCATGTTATCACATTTTGATATTCAATACCACCAACCTACAAGAAAACATTTCATTGAACAAAGATAAAGATAACAATTATGCTTTTAGAAATCAAAATATTTACTTGGTTCACAAAATTTCCTAACAACCCATTAGTTGTAATAACTACATAAAAGGAAGCTGAATGAAACAAAGTCATACCTTTAGCCTACGTTCTACCAAACCTGTAAATAAGATAAGCAAATCAAGTGTACTTTGTATCTATGTTCTTGCAAACTAGAAAATCATAGAGTAAATCATAGCAAAATTGTATAAGTTCAGATGTTAAACTTCCTTACAAATAGTAGTTGGGAAGATGGAACAAGGATTTGGTCCGTCTGGAGTGTTATCATAAGGGTGAAGGCCTAGATACTAACACCCACATTCTGTCAAAATTTTGTTTTATTCATGATGGGAGCATGGCGATTTTCGATAGATTTAAGATCATATCTTGAATAGATTTATGTATCCTTTAGACATACCTATACCAAGGAAATTTATGTCTAAGGAAAATGCAAATAGCAGGCCTCAATTTATTTGATTTCATGTATTCAATCTATTGTTAAGTCTATAAGCAAGTATTTGTATTTTTTTTGGAACAACAAATCTAACCTATGCCTACATTAATCCTAATTCGTCATATGTCCCAAACGGGACATGAACCCTTGACCTCATGGAGGGAAAGCAACACCTGACACCGCTGGACTAGAAGCCCTTTGGTAGTATAGATATTTTGATTTGTAACTCTTTTCTTTATACATAGATTTCAATTTTACAGTGTTATTGTAACGCCCAAAACCTTGAGGAGAAATTGTTGAGAATAAGCCAAATTCGAGTTGAACTCGGTGAGTTTTAGTAGCCAACTCGACGTGTTTAAGATGGAAGAATCGCATGGATTTAATGAGTCAACTTGGCGAGTCGAGGTGCCTCAACTCGGCGAGTTGGTAGCTGGGAAGGAAACCCTAATTTGTAGGGTGTTGCACCCTATGTAAAGGCCTTAAGTCCCTTGGTTGGCCTCCTTACCAGCCTCCTCTGTCCAGAAACCCTAAAATCGAGCTTTACCTTTCATTGTTGAGTGTGAGAGCTTGGGGAGAGCCTTGAATGTTCATTTTTGGTGCATGTTGAAGGAGCTACGGATTTAGGAGTTGCTTGGCTTAAGGAAGAAGTCTTGGATCCAGAATCTCTGTCTCATTTGCCAAGTTTTTGAGGTATCAAGTTCTCACCTTGCTTATTAGTTGCTTAGATCTCTTCTTGGGTTAGATTTTATGCTTTTTAGCCATGGTTGGGTGGATGTTGGGGATTAGGACGTCCCAAATGATTATTCTTTTAGATCTAAGGTCTATATGAGCTCTTTTGGCATAAAGGTGCAAACTTTATGGATTTAAGGACTTCATGCATTCATTAAGTTCCTTATTAAGTCCTTCTTGTGTAACACCGTAAATTTTCAAACAAAATTTTCAATTTAAAATCACATAATTCGCATAACACATTTCACAAAATCCCAATTATTTAATTTACAAAACGCAACTCCATAATTGTTTGATTAATAATCCAGCATCCTCAAAACATAACTCTTTCTCTGGTGTGTACAATCAAGCCGACGCCTTCCCGCGATCCTGAGAAGAACCTGAAACACATATCACATAACACGGTAAGCACGAAGCTTAGTGAGTTTACCAAAATACCACTCATATCTCATTAGCCTCTCATGGCTATAGCTCAGTAAGACCCTCCGGTCAATGTTTCTCAGTGGGACCCTCCAGTCCCACAACTCGGGTGGACCCTCCAGTCCGGTATCTCAGTGAAGACCCTCCGGTCTCACAACTCGGTTTGGACCCTCCAGTCCTGTCTCAGTGGGAACCCTCCGGTCCCACAACTCGGGTTGGACCATCCGGTCCTATCTCAGTGAAACACAGAATATAACATATATATCACACAGACAATGCATAATATCACATAACTCAAATAAGCACATAAGACCCTCCGGTCACACAACAGTTACCACTCTAGGTAAGTATAGTGAGAAGACTCACCTCGCAAGCAAGCAAGCAAGCAAATAACCTTGTACTCGAATCTCGAATTAGCCTCCGCCTAACACAAAGGATGAATATCTCTAATTAATACTCTTTTCATGACTCTAATAACCGAAGGCTATTCTTTCTCTCTCTAAATATTGAAGTGGATAAAAGACCATTTTACCCCTCCATAGTCTCCATTACTCATGTTTGTCCCAACCCTAAAGTCAACAGAAGTCAAACTCGAGTCAACAGTCCATGTTTGACCCGACTCACCGAGTGCACCCATGTGACTCGTTGAGTCCACTCTTTTTCCTCAGAAGTCTCGTGAAGGTCCAGCTCAGGTCGTCGATTTGACCCCCAACTCGCCGAGTTATCGCATGATCAAGCTCATTGGGACAAACCCTCACCGACTCGTCGAGTCGGCTCATCGACTCGGCGAGTCCATTCAAACTCATTCCTCATTCAGACGATTCAAAGCAGATCTACTACTCCAAACACTAGATCTAGCATCTCAAGACTCATTTGTCACGTAAAGCTTCGATCTTTACATTCATGTATGGTAATTTTGCTCCAACATACCAAAACATGCTCTCACAAGGTGTTAAGCACAACAACTCTCATGTGGAATGAATAAAGTTGAGACCTTTGGACTCTAGGGACCTCACAAGGTCCAAATCTGAGGTTTAAACCCCATGATAACTCTATATGCTCGAAGTCCCAACAAAAGGTGGAAGAAACCCTAATCTTCCATAATAATGAGATCTAGGCAAATAAAAGAGAAAGGTGCAAGCTTTTACCTCCCACTGAAGCCCTTGCATGAAGATACACTAAATCCAACCGAATCTCTTGCTGAACAACTCCTCTTCCTCCTCAAAGATG